GCCTCCTGTGGGGGCCGGACCCGGCTCCTTGGGGCTTTCCCAAGTGCGGAACGGTGAGTTTGAGGCCCAGCAGCGCCGCGCCTGCAGTGACTGCACCGCGTTGTTCCCTGCCTGGGATTTAATTACGAGCCGTGGCACTGAATTTAATTATGTCCCGTACTGCAGTGCCCTGGGTGGAGGCGTGATGAAGGAGTTGGTCTAGAAGGAAGGGTTTTTTGGTTGAAAAAACAAGAGGTTCTTTGTCAGTGGCCTGCGTGCTGCTTTCCCTTGCTGTGTCCACAACAGCAAGAATTTCAATAAAACCTGCTGCCTAAATGAGGCTGGAAAACTGTGGCTTCGTTGCCCTCCCTTTGGGGCAGCAGCAATGGGGGCACATTCCGGCTCCGCTGTTCCCTTTGGGAAAGGCCGGGTGCTGACCTTGGTGTGAATGGAGGCCAGGCAGGGTTCGGGGTGGGACAGCATCGTTTTTGGTCAAAGCCCGGATCCCTCTGGGGCGGGATGTCCTCCTGCCTTGGGGCGCGTGCCGAGTGCCGCATCCCGGCCGGGTCGCGCTTCCCGATGCCCGTCCGGCTGCTGGGTGCCTCCTGGTGACCAGCGTCTTCCCGGCCTCTCGCGGGACAGCGGCAACGGAACGGGGACAGGCTCTGTGCGTGCACTCGGAATGGATCCGCTCCGTGCAGCCGCGCGCTTCCGTTCCTCACATTCCCTGCTTAGCGCCTTGCGTTAAACTCCAACTTGTCATAACCTTTAATGAGCTTTAATGAGAAGGTGTCTCGGTGTTTGGGCATCTTAGTCAGCCAGGAGCCCCCGGGACGTGGTTTTCCACATCCCGTTCTGTGGGAATCTCGAGGTGGCTGCCCAGGCTCCTCGGGGTGGAGGGGATGAATGCAGAGCCGGGCTCGGATCCCGCGCCGGCCGGGGCAGGAGCGGCTCCGTCGCAGCCAGCCCCACGGCTCCCCGCGTTTTTTCGCCCTCCGGCTCCGGCTGCAGGGCTGGAGCTGTGCGGGAAAACGGGAGCGGGGTGAACGGGAAGGGTGCCGGGAGCTGTGCGTTCACAGCGGGCTTTGCCAACCCTGCCTGTGGTGAAACTGGAAACTCCATTAAATAATGGGTGCTGTTATTTGGTTATGTGCTGGTATATGTCCCTTCTGAGAGAGATTCGGGTTTGCTCAGGTCAAAATAGTGAGCGTGGGCTCCTGAAGGCCCAGGGAACGGGGGAGATGGGTCGTGGTCGGGGTGAGAGCGAAAGCTGCGACGCTCAGGAGCGTTTCAGGAAGCCCCGACAATCTTCACTGAGAAGCACCAGAGCAGCGTTGAAATTGCAAGTGTGTCAGCCATGGTCTTGGGTGAATCTGTCGGGCTGGATGTGAGGCCGCGGGGCTGGGAAGGGCGAGCGTGGGTCGCGCGCAGCCCGGGCGCGCGCTGGGTGCAGGCTGGGCGTGCGGGGCAGCGCTGCCGCCCGCGGCTCCCAGGGGAAGGAGCAGCCCGTACCTGCCTGCAGCAGCGCAGCCTTGGCGGAAAAACAGCAGGAACGGAGCTGGAAGAACCCGCAGCAGGTTCTCCAAACGCAGCTGGAAAACGCGCTCACACGCACATGGAATATTCGATGTTCCCGCAGTTTAACTGTCCTCCTTGCGGACGTGTTCCCCTGCTAACAGTGGGTCTCACCTGGCTCTCTTTGCCTTGCAGAGCAAGGAGATCGGGCTGCAGATGCACGAGGAGCTGCTGAAGGTCACCAACGAGCTGTACACGGTGAGTAGAGCCGGCGGCTCCCGCCTCGCGCCGCTCCGCGCGCAGCCCCTTCTTCCCTCGGTGCTCGGAAGCGCCTCCCTCTCCCGGGGCGGCCCGGGGGG